GCCCCGCGCCCCGCCCCGCCCCGCCGGGCCCCGCTCCCTAGGCCCGACCGGGCCGCAGTGCGCCGCGCTGGGCCGTTCTCGCCGCTGCAACTGACCCAAGGCTTTAAAAGACCGGGACGCGGCCGAGGCTCCGGCATTAAGTGTCGTGCTGCCGCGTGCGCGTGTGTGCTCCTCGTGCTACCCGCGCTCCTCCCCGCGATCCGCAACGCCCCGCAACATCCCGCTCCACGACGTCCCGCAGCGCCCCGCCAACGCTCCGCGAAGTCCGCGTCGGGGGAGTGACTCTCATCGGCACCGGTAAGCGGCTCGCCCTCGGGCTCGCCCTGGCTAGAGCAAGCTGGCCCCTGGCCTCCCCGGAACCTGGATACAAAGTGTGGCAGTGCTGAGTGTTCGCGGGACTGACGACGTGGGTGGATGGGTGGCCCTCCACCGTTTTCAAAACAAAATTGTCGGCGTCGGGCTTTGTTTTGTCTCTTTCCTCGGGGGGCAAAAAAAGGGGCCAATACTGTCAGGGAGTGTTTTCTATTTGAAATGCGAATCATGTCGCGGAAATTTGTCGGTTCGATTCGATGGGCGGTGCGTCCGGGTGGGTCCCCTGGGGCTGGGGGCGGGACGGAGTCGAACCGGCCGGCCGGCCGGCGCCAACGGCCGGCTTACTGCGACGGGATGGCATTTCCGTGTTTGGTTCGCCGCGACCGCGTAGCGGAAAATTTGCTGTGATATAGCTGCGATTGTAATGCTCAGGTGGTCTTTTCGAAAAACAAAATGTCGATTTTCAGGGGCAAAACTCACTGTAAAAAATATGTTTGTACATGTACGATTTTTTTTGTAGTTTGCCATTTACTATTCCAAGTCGATACGCAGGGCAAGTAAATTTTACTATTTTAAACTGTTCTTGTACGACTTCTTCCATGGAAAATTTTCTTGTGCCCGGTACGACAATTTTTCGCAGTGCTTGGACTGCCTTTTCTTTGTTTCGAGATGTGCGGAATATTTGGACTATCGAATCTAGTTTTTTTTTTTCAGTACTGCCTATCCTTTTGCGATGGCGAACTGGAATCCGGTACATATGAGTTAGTGCGCATCCGTATATCAGGAAGCATCCCGTCCCGCCCAGTGAGTAAGCCGATCGAACCCGACACGCGCGGCTTTGCAGTGGATGGCTTATTGTTCCAGCGATAATCTAAACCAGTCACCTAACTGTAAAAGTTAATCAAAATCCTTTTAAGCATAGTGCCGCATTTTCAAAA